AACTACTCCTCGCAATTCATTGAAAAAAATATAAATACCTTCAGATGACGAGATGACCTGAATGGTAGAGATGGGAGCCTGGACGGCCACCCATTTTTCTTTTCTTTAGGTATTGTTACAAAAGCTATGAAGCTATCATCAGGACAGAGAGGAGAACTTCAATCGTATTATCCTGGTAATGAGATTTTTGACTGATCAGTCCAAAAGTTCGTAGTACAGCACCTGAATCTTGATTAACCCTGTTGCTGGTATCAAAGGAAAATTTTGATGGATGTTACTCCCTGGCTGCTTTCACAGGGCAATGGGACCGGTGGTAACTGTCCAAATTACCTCACGGTGTTGTTACTACGACCAAATGGTGTTCTATGGAACCTTCGTCTAGCCTTCCGCATTATGGTGGTAGGTCTGGGTGGTATTTCAATCCTTTAATTGACTTTTTCCCTCGAGCACTACTACTACAATAGCACTAATAACTGTATAAATATGTATGTAAGTCGAAAACGGTTAAAAATACCTCTTTTGAGGGACAGAACCTAATTCTATCGATTCGACTGAAGAAGGCGGCTGTTACAGGATATGCTTTTAGCCACTCCATTACATGAAACAAAATGGAAATAGGATGAACATGGTGGAAAAAACTCAGGAATGGTTCAAAGACTTACCAGAGTCGGCTCACAAGGGCATTCGAAGAAGAGGTACCTCACTTAAGAATTTCTGTGCATGTGTAGATCCATTTGAATTTCCGGATATTTCACGCTCTCTTGCCTTCTTTAGGCCTCAAAAACCAACAAACTGTTAGGAAAACGGGTCTGCTGGCTGGCAATGGTCACATTCTAATTGTAGTTCCTAGGAGTCGACAGACATAGGAATAGCTACTCTTGATGTTCTGATGGTTGAAGGAAAACCTTCCCCTATGAATCCTGTGTGAGATGAGTATCAAATGGGAGGCTGCGTAGATCCTACTCGACTTTGAGAGTACACTTTGTCAAACAAAGCAAACTATAAGAAACCGCCTTCAGACAACTCAGAGATGGCAAATACCGCTAAGG